TTATAAAACCAAAGTACAAAGAGAAAGATAAAAAGGCTAAAAAATCCAAGAGGCTGATAGAGGCCACACCAGGCTGCTAAGGGGCCAGCCAACCCCATTTTTGATATCCTCCCTTCCTGCCACAGGCCAGATGGCAGAGCCAGGTCTTCAAATCCCTCCGAAAGGCCTGGAGTGAGGGGGCCTGTCTCACCCCCGGGGTCAAGATGTTCCAAAGGGCGGGGGCTACAGCAGAGAAGGCCCGCCTTCTGGACCTTGCTAATCGAAGTTCTTTTACCGCAGGGATCCGAAGCATGCCCTCTCTGTGAGATCGGGTGGGACGGGTTGAAATCATGCTTTTAAACAGCAGCAAAATTTAAATTGCTTTAAACAGCAGCAAAACTGAATAGGGTTTTGCCAATTTTTATCTTCCTTTGCTGACATCCTTGCATTTGAATAGCAGTTAGAGACCAAGTAACTACACAGATGCACCAATCAGCAGGACGCTCCCTCTTAAAAATGCCTTCCATTTCTGAGTCACTTGGATACACAGGAAAGAGCCTTCGCCTGGATTGCTCTCCAGCCAGCAGATGCATTCCATCAGGAGATGTGCTCATACCCCCCATTCCAACTTTAGGAAAGGAAACAAGTCATCTTTCTATAGCCAGGTCTTTTCACTTTAACTTAACTTAGTAATTATTTTAACTATTTATATTTTGCTTTTTGTTGTTTAATTTCTTCAGTGCCCTATGGGCAGAGATGCAGGAAACAAATAATTCAGTGAAATGAGTGATACTAAGGGTTCTGGTTAGTAGACTGTTGGAGAAGCTGATCATTCTTTCTGGCAGAGAAGAAGGTCGTATACTGTATTCTTTCTTTAGCTTAGGGTGGCACTCTTTTGCCTGGATGATGTTCCTGACAGTCACAGGTTATAGACTTTCTCTGGCTGATGGCAGAAGCCAGATTGATTGGTAAACCTATTTCTATCCATTATTAGAAATCTGTCCATTATTAGAAATAAACCATTATTTCCATCCATTGTTAGAAATAAACCATTTTGATAGCTTTTATTTAACATTGGCCTTGGCTGCCTGTACAGAAAGTAATGGCTGAAAAGACTTTGCAAAAATTTTAAGAAAAGATTTAAAAAGGGCTCAGGTACAGAACTACAGTCATCCCTGAAATTCTTTGCACCCCTCTCATTCTGGATGCAGTGGAAATAAGAGCATATTCAGAAAATAATTATGTGAAGAGGTCTTCTTTATTATAGTGTGAATGTCATGTTGTGCCTGAATACTTCTGTTTGATTCTGTGTGGCTCTGCACCACTTTGATGTGCTTCTGTGGTTTTTAGGAAACAGATGTAGAGCCAATCAATGGAGAGGTCATGGAAAATGCTATCAAGGTGTCAATAGTGACTGAAGGATCAACAGCAAATGAAGTTCTGGATGGAGAGTCAAAGTTACAACCTGACAGTTCAGAAGAAACAACTTTAACTTTACTTGTCCCATTAATTCTTGATTCTTCCGGAAAATCCATTGAAGACAGCGATGATAATATTTCAGATAAGGTGAGGGAATGTTAAAACAATGTTTTAAGACTATTTCATAGCCTGGAAGAATTTGAAGCACTGTCTCTTCCTATACATTCCTGTCCTCAGGAATGTACAGGAGGCTTTACATGCTAAGATGTAGTGGATGACTGCGTGGGAATGAGCTGTCTTTATGATGGACCCACCCAAGCTTTGGAATACCCTTCCAAGAAAAGCACACCTGGCCCCTAATTTAATAGCTTTCTAATAGCAGGCAATGATTTATTTTTTTATTCTTCCAATACTTTGAATTTTTAACTTTATTACTGTGTTTTCATTGTCTCACTTCACTTTTCTTGTTTTAATTGTTTAATTTGCTGTTTTCCTTAGGTACTGACTTTAAATATTACAGTGTATAGAATATACGTTCACTTGGAAACATTCCACTTTATAAAATGAAATAGTAATTACATTTCATTTGCCCTGCATTTAATAATAGCATTTGAAAATGACTACTGTTGTCCATCTCTGCCTCTTCTCTCATGCTCGTTTTTATATAGAGGCTTCAGACTTGTTTTATCTTCACTTTTGACCTGGTTTTTCTCCAGCTGAGCCTTAAAGTGAACATTTTAGATCACACACACACACACACGTGTTTGTGTGTGTGTTCTCTTCAATCATGTCTGATTCTTGAAGACTGCCTGGACAAGTCCCTGCACTTTTCTTGGCAAGGTTTTTCAGAAGTGGTTTGCCTTCTTCCTAGGGCTGAGTGAGTGACTGGCCGAGGGTCACCCAGCTGGCTTCGTGCCTGAGGCGGGACTAGAATTCAGGTTCTCCCAGTTGATGCCTTAACCACTACACCAGATTAGTTCTCATATTTTTTATATATCTCATAGATAATATTTTTATATATCTCATAAACGTATTTTTAGCTTCAGACTAATATAAGTAACTGATAGAAACCTATGGCAGAGGCATTGTGAGAATGAAGTAAAGAAGTACTCTTTGGATTAAAAACTACATCTATGACATTACATTTCTTAAGAGTTTTGTAGCGTTTTACATATATTTGACTTACAGTGGTGCTTTCTTCCTCCTTAGGTTGAGAACATGGCAGATTCTGAAGTGCCAGCAGAAGAGGAACAGATGACACAAAGGAAAAGAGCAAATGCTGATCCTGTTTCAGCAGCAGAAAAAGAATCTTCTAATAATGGTCTTTTAAACTCAGTAGCAGTGGAAGCTCCAGAAGATGCCATTTCTGAAAATGTCTCTCCCAACACAACCTCTTCCTTGGAAGAGCAAAGTGAGGAGGGTGGATCTGACTCACCAGAAGCCCCCGTGGCCCTGGGTCAGGGGGCTCTGATGATGGTTGAATTGGAGGACATCTCTTACCAGCAACATCCAGAGGGACAAAAGAACCAAATGGATGAACAGTCTGAAGAGTCAGCTGAGCCAGTGTCTGAGAGAGCTGCTGACAGCAGTTCAGAAGAAGCGGAAATTGAGGTGCCTGTAATAGACAGGCGGACCTTACGAAGAAAAGCCAAAGGATACAAAGGCCCACCCAAGAAAAAAGGAAAACTAATTTGAACACAATTATAGTCAACCCAAGTGGGAATGATTGCCATTTTCATTGTGTTTCTTTCTTCAGAGAAAAAGCTGTAAAATTACATATCATTGTAGGATCCACATGTATTTAAACACTGGAATCATTCCCAGTTTTTCTATAGCCTGTTACTTGTTTTGTTGTTTAACCACTACATAAAATGAACCAAATTGAGTATGGAAGTAAATATCTAGTTTTGCTAAACAATAACAATAATCAAAAAGACACTGGATGTTAAAGTGGGGCAGTAACTTTAAATTAGTTATATTAGAGATGTTGAGGGGCCAAACAGGTGCCACCTTATGTTACATTGTTAAACTGCCTCAAGTGGCTGTTGATTTGTCAGCTCTTATGTACAATAACGCATAATTTATGAAGTGTCAGGCATTTTCTTCATCCCTAAATGCCATGGAAAGATTAATTGCGCACCCTGATGTTTTTCCAGGCTTATCAGGGACAGATATTTACAATTAAAGTTATTTTTTTCAAACCCTGCAATCATTATTTTGTAGTAAATTCAAAATCCTGTTTTAAACTGAAATATAGAATACCTGATATTATTTGTGCTTAGTTCAACTTTGCCATGGATACTATATGCTCCCATTCAAAAATCCAAGATTATATGATCTCAACTAAACCTGAATCCTCAATCTATGTTGGAGTCCTCTGATTATTTTGCCAGTGAATAAAGCAGGTGCTTCTTTTCACAAACGAAGCTCCTAATATATGGATAGTAAACTGAACTCCTTCAGAGTAATTGTAGGTTAGACCCTCATAAAAACCTATGATTACCATTTTCTAAGTACTAGTAGTTGGACAGATTCATAAAGAGTCTTCAGTTTGAGGCAATTTCTCTTTCAGTATCTGTTAGTAAGAATGTTCATTTGAAACGATGTGAAACTTTTGATTTTAATCTTTTCAGAATTGGTCTATTTTGGCTCCCTGGTTGTATAAGCTTTCTGGCTTCTCAGTAATGGCTCAGCTGATTGCTTTTTTAAAATAACTCATCTTGATAAAGAAGTGCTGTTTTTTTAAAAAGCATGTTATGAGAAGTTTTAGTTTTGAGGTATATAGAGTTGCCAAGTTGTCTGGATTTTCAGCATGATACACATTTTTCTACCAGTGTACATTTTGTATATTGTGGATTAGGAGTATTTGTGCAGAAATCTTGGTTCTGATATTGATTAAACACTTTCTATGAAGCACATAAAACAGCTTGTCTCTTGTACTACTATTTTTTTTTTTTTTTTGGTAAAATAACATTTTGACAATTTAAGATTAGGGCAGTTTTTGCTATTAGCACTGAAGTTTTTGAAATGGACAAGGTTAGATTACAGTCTCTGAAAGGAAACATAGGTATGAATGTTAGATGTATTGAGCTAGATAAACAAGGGGCTTTGTAATTCTTATTCTGTAAATCAAAACAATATTTTGTGAAGTGACTACGTGTGTATTTCTATTATGGATTCTGGATTGGTGGTGATTTAATACTATATTAAATGTTTTAAATCAGTGTGTTTCTCCCAAATCATAAATTTGGCTTGTGCATTTAAAGCTATAAAACATTTATTTTCAGTCTGTAATTAAAGTGGTTTATAAAACATTTAATTGCAAAAATGTTACTTATATGAGAGCCGAGTTTCTTAACCCTTCTAGGATATTCAATTATTATAAAATCTTAAGGAAAGTTAATCTTGACATCCATGGTCCTTCCAGAAAACGTTTTGATGGTTTTGTCTATAAGCCAGAAGGATATTTTCCCTTGTATACACAAGTAAGAAACACTGTCCTTTCTGCAGAAAGCAGCCCTCCAGCTGACATTAACCAAGATATATCTCTTGGATCACATATTGCTTATAAAAATGTATGATGCCTGTAGCAAAGTCTGGAAGAATTAAACTGAATATTGTTATGAAGGCAAATATTTATATGTATTATATAACTGTAACTTGTTTTCTTCTGATTGGAGTTAGGTGACCTCACTTCAGCTAGCACCTTGTAACTTTTTACATTGCAGCTGTTATTGAGCTAAAACCCTTAAATTATTAAAACTATGCTGAGAAATTAAAAACAAATTTGTAAAGCAGAATTAAAATGTGCAACACTGTGCAGTTCACAAAGGAACACATTCTTAAAAGGATTATTATATGATTTAGCTTAAATAGGTGAAAATGACTATTAGTCTGCAAAGAATAAAATAGACCAATTCTTGAATAAAGTTCATAGCAGAAGTAAAAAAGATATTGTATAAAACAAAATTAAAGAGTGTTATAATTCATCTGTTTTTAGTTGCAAAATAAGATCTAAACAAAATTAGCATGTGAACTCAACTTTACTTTTAATTGTTAGTTTTCTAGGAACTCATTATTCAGGTTCTTACTGCTTCCAATGTCATGGTGTATTTTACATTTCATGCACGTTACCATTTTCAAGTATGATTTCATGAACTGCTTTACTGTACCTATTGCATGAAGTATGTAGAATCTCTTCCACATAAATTTAATAAAACGTTTACCTTTTAGCTCAATAGAAATGTTGTGGTTTGTTGTTGTTTATGGACATTACTTAATTATGAATCGTAATGCAGTGTAGTTAAGTTGCAGAACAATATTCATTTTCATCATCACCACCACAGCATTTGCTTTTAATTTAAGGAATTTATCAGAAACTGGGCATCCAATGTTCTGGGGAGTTGTGCTGTTGATAAAACTTTTAATATAATTCTGTCCTATATTAATGTATTGTTTCTCCCTTTTAGTGTGTATTGTTTCTAATGTGTTTCTAACTGATTAAACTTACATTTTTAATTTTCTCATTGTTCTTACTAGCTTGAAGTCTCTTCTTAGCCATGGACTGGGATAAGTCAGGATAGGTGAGCATTTGTCCAAGCAGTCACCAGTGGTCCAAATATAACTTGATGGAATCTAACCAGACACAATAGGCCAGCAGAAGGAACAAGGGGCCAATGATAAGATTTCTACATTTAGCTGGGAAATAAATCCGATTCCTTAGGTTCAATGGGAACTTTGCTCCACTAAGTCTTGAATAACTGAGATATTATGTATTACATACAGCAAGAATCTTCTCAGAGTCATTGGGAATAATAAGCTTGAATGCCCTGTTTTTATAAAGCAGGAGAAATGTGTGTAGCTAGTCTCTTGATCACAAATTGAACTTAATACAATATAACATTTTGTGTTATACATACTGAATGTGGCAAAGAATGTTAAGATTGGTTGCAGTAGCCTTGCTGTTAGAGATACTGTTCAAAAATGGGAGTACTAATCTATATTGTTAATATTCCAGGCTTTTGATCCTACTTATCCTGTTCAAATCTTGGCTAGGTCAACCTCCTCATACTGAAGATTTGGGGAACTCTGCAACAATGATAGGGATGACACTAGTCCCAGATTGCAGAGGAAAGAGTAAGGGAAAATTGCAGCCTTCTAACAATACTTCCTCTCTGATGGAGTTCTATTACACTGATAGGAGCAACTTAGTAACTTTAGAGTTTCATCAAACAGTTGACTACATATGAAGAAAAAAAGCACTTCAGCTAAAACTCTTAGAAAGTGATGACAGCATCAAAGACAGTATGCATTAGGCTAATACAGGAAATGTTTCAACATATATAAAACAAGTATACACATCAGTCACCCACACATTCCCAGATTAAGGCTTAAATACTTTGTATGCTGAGATCATTTCCCCTGGAACTAATGACATAAGATATACTATGAATATGCTTTCCCACTACAAAGATGCTCCTAGAAATCTGCCAAGTTGGAATAATCTCATGCTTCAACTTGCCAGAATAATTGTGTTCCATGTGTATGAAATTTGGCAGAGAAAGCAGAAAACTAGCTTTCGCCACTGCCTGTCAATATGTACCCTACTTTCTTAGTGCTGGAAGAACTGACAGCAAAGGGTGCCATTGTATGCAAGAAACAAGGAATATTGCTACTCTATTTTCTAAGATAATTTTAGGTGGTTATAAAAGTCTTATTTACCATTCTAGTCAAGACATTTAACTCTTTACAAGACATCCTCCCGATAACTTGATCTTGCCAATTTGGATAATTTACTACCTTTGAGTTTTAACATCCAAAATCCAAATTCTATACAAGTCACTGATAATTATTTGATGTCAGTGTTGTACAAAAATTACATACTCAGTTAATGTCAGAACAGCCAATGTGCTGACTTCCAAACGTTTTGATGTAGAACTTCCATAAGCCTGCTTCTGGAAGCTGTGCTCGAAAGCATTCATAGGGAGGGACGTTTTATCAGGCAGCCTAACCTGCCATGTGTTTAAAATGTGACAGGGTTTGAACTTAAATCAATATTCCTTCTTAGAAGAGAGCCATACATCTTTAAGGTGTTAAACAGACAAGAGGCATTCTTGGTATACAGAGTGGCCTGATCAACAGAAACAATCCCATTATCTCCTCACATATTGTGGAACCTTCCATCTTGAGGGATTTGATACTCATTTTAAACACCATTCTGACTAGAGTTCACAACGTTAAGAAAGGAAGCCTGATCGAGTTTCTTCTTTCCAGAAAAAGTATCACAGCTCCAATAAATCAAATACTTGCAATGATTGGGATTCAGTTTCAATCCAGGTTTGTTCCTTTATTTTTGGTAATATTTGGAAAAAAGTCAGTTCTGCAACTGTCCTTTGTCTTTTAGAGGTTGCTGCAGAGGCACTTCTGTGTGTGGAAAAGCTTGCACATCCATAACTGCAGTGTCATTATACAAGCAAAACTGCATTAATGCACCCATCGTTTTCTGGATTATTGGTTACTTGTGCATATTTTCCTGAAAAGAAAACAAGTTGTACTGAAAGACTTTTAATAAAATGCACCTTTAAACTGAATATATATAATGGCAGATTCTCATTAAGTCTATACATGTGCAATTACTGCAGTACAATAAAAAACAGCCTCCTGCCATAGCTGGCACTTGAATCCATTGTGACAAAACAACCCTACTTAAAAGGGGTCATGGGGAAAGAGGAAAATAATAGGCCTTTATTCTTCCCATCTAAGGGCCAATTCAAAAGTTACTTCTGTGAGATTGAACAAAGCAACGTTAACGTTTCCTGTTGCAATAAAATTGCACAATGTAGTTTCTGAATGAACTGCATAATTTTCTCTAACTGAAGCAAAATGGCATTAAGGTATATTTGGAGACCATTAATTTTTGTGACTGTGAAATGCAGAAAAAACAAAACAGGACATCAAGAGAGATTGCTATATGAGACATATTAAAAATATACCTAGATGTTGACTATGAATGGGACCTCGGGTTACGAATTTAATTCGTTCCGTGACTCTGGTCGCACCCCAAATTGGTCTCAACCCGAAGGAAATTTCCCGATAAGTTTCAGTGTAATTACCGTTAATCTGTTCTGGCGTGGAGGACAGGGAGGCGGCTATTGCTTGGAGGGAGAGTCCCCCTCCCTACGACCATGTGTCAGGGGAGGAAAATGGCCGCGGACCACGTGTCAGGGGCAGAAAAATGGCCGGGGACCACGTGTCAGTGGCGGAAAAATGGCCACGGACCACGTGTCAGGGGCGGAAAAATGGCCGCGGACCACGTGTCAGGGGCGGAAAAATGGCTGCGGACCACGTGTCGGGCAGAAAATTGGCCGCGGACCACGTGTCAGGGGCGGAAAAT